GTGATTAATGCTCAAACCTTCTTCATATGAGAAGAGACCTTTGCTCAGCAGTGGGCACTTATGGGCTGATGATGATGATGACTTCTTATAAAGCTGAAGATTTAGTTTGTTTGTTTGAACGCGCAAATCTCAGGAACTACTGGTTCGAAATGAACAATTCTTTTTGTATTTGTTAGTCCATTTATCGAGGAAGGCTATATGCTATAAAACATCACGCTAAGGTCTGTAAGAGCCGAGCAGCGAGTGACTAGCTAGTTAAGTATAAGTTTGAAATTGAATAAGCCAACCCGTCTGTAACAAGCGTGGTGGTTAATGCTCAAACCTTCTCCGTGTGAGACTGAGAAAAGGCATTTGCTCAGCAGTGGGCACTTATAAGCTGATTGTGTGATGATGATAAATATGATAAGCATGTCAGGAAATGCATCTAATGCGTGATATTCAGATAAGTAATGTTTACTACAAGCAAGATGTAATGTACTATCGTAGAATTATACGATCAGTGTTTAGTAGTACACTTAAGAGTATAAAGTCTTAATTATATTAATGTAAATGTAAAAATGTAATATAAATTGCCATAATTAACTAAAAATCTCGGGTTACTCACGTTTGTTTTAAAGCAAACTAGTAAGAAAAGCTCTACTAGTTTCGAACCACAGAGGGGTTCTTCCTCATGAGTAGTGTGCGCGCTCAGTAGGTTGCGCGACGTCGCCGCGTCCGCGCACGCTGCTCATGAGGAAGAACCCCTCTGTGGTTCGAAACTAGTAGAGCTTTTCTCAAAAACAAACGTGAGTAACTCGCGATTTTTAGTTAATGTAGTATGTCTCACGACAGTTATTATAAATTGCAATTTTGCATGAAAAAATTTAAACGAAATTTTTGATTTGAAATGCGATGTAAATGTAACACTAATCAATAAACAAATGACTACTTTTGGAAAAAGAATCCCATGTTTTTAAAACAAAATTAATTAGCCTTAGCTTGACAAAAACTATTTTGATTTGAAATGGCCAGTACTGCAGAACGGCAATTTCATAGGTAAAGACCTATTACCTATATCATCAGTCAATAAACACGGTGTTTTGATTATAAAGAGAATGTATAACTAGCGACCCGCCCCGGCTTCGCACGGGTGTAATGCTTGCGTAAATAAAGCTACTACAAAATGTCCTTATAATTTATAGTCTATAGCAAGCAGACGGATTACCTGATGGTAAGCAATCAGCGCCGCCCATGGACACTCGCAACGGAGGAGTTACGAGTGCGTTGCCGACCTTTTAGGGATTAGGGATTTGAAGATTTAGGGATTTAGGAGGGATTGGGGTAGGGGAAGGATTGGCCTCCGGTAACCTCATTCACACGGCGAAACACAACGCTGTGGTTGTTCACGCCGATTTTCTGTGAGGCCGTGGTATCACTCCGGTCGAGCCGACCCATTCGTGCCGAAGCATGGCTCTCCCACACTTCAAACTATCTATCAGAGAAAGATTTTTTTTTAATTCTGACCGGCGTTTCCAAAAATTATCTACATACAAACTCACAAATTTTACCTCTTTATAATATTAGTATATGTAGATTAAATGAAAACGATTTGCTGTCTGTGGCAAGTCTAGACTAAAATGCGTCATTTACGACCTATTTTTAGATAATTATGTAAGGTGATTCACATTACACATATCTCGCTGTGTGAGTGAGGTTAATGGATGCCCAATTCTTCCCCCCCATATCCTCAATACTCAAATCTATATCGTCTCTGGCAAATCTCTGTCCCTTTTGATGTCAACTCTTCAAGTGTCAAAAGCATAGTTATCATCGACAATAGATAGTATCTTTTTTTTATATACAAAATTAGTTTTGTATAACAATTATTATATATAATTGAGAATAATATTTGTACAACCACAAATATTATGCTCGACTGTTACCATTTAAATCTATACTAATATTATAAAGAGGTAAAATTTGTAAGTTTGTACGTAGGGGGTAATCTTTGGAACCGCTGGTCGGATTGCGAAAATTCTTTTCACTGATAGATAGCTACAATGTTCTTGAGTGCTATAGGCTATAAACCATCACAAAACGATCAAATGGAGCCGAGTAGCGGGCGCGAGAGTAGCTAGTAATATAATAAAACAGCTTCCACCCTGGCTTTGTAATCGTATAAAAATAATGTATCCCGGGATTTAAATTAACGATTAACGTTTAAAGCGATAGCTCGACTTAAATACGTAAATCTTTGTTTAATTTTATAGCCTATAGCACACAGGAACATTGTAGCTATCTATCAGTGAAAGAATTTTTGTAATCCGATCAGCAGCGGTTCCAAAGATTACGCCGGCTACATACAAACATACAAACTTACATATTTCACCTCTCTATAATATTAGTATAGGTACTTACTTAAATATTAAAAAATGTAAATGGATTTATAATGTTTAATAAAAAACAACAGACAATTTAATAAACAAGAAAAAAAAATGTGTGTCAAAAATGATCACCCATCCTCCACCTGACCCCGGTGTGTGTTGCTTAACCTGGCATGCGCCGGCGCTGTTGTCGCGTATTTAATAATAAAATCGATCACGCAGTCAAACTAGTGTTGTGTGTGAGCGAGACGTGATATGTAGGGTGACAACGTTGTTTTAGTATGAGCGGAATGTCCCGTTTTTATTTATGTGCAAAATAGCTTATAACCAAATCTTCGTCCGCGTAAATTAACACCATATGGATTGCTATACTATTTCGTAATAACAAAAAAATATTTAAAAAAAATAAAGTATCTTAAGTAACACCGTAATTACCAGTTACCTACCAATAAAAGATCGAAATCCTGTTAATCTGTCTTCTGCACAGACAGACAGGCAGTCAAAAATTTTAAAAAGATTTGAGGTTTTGCTTGGTGGCGAAAGAGTTTAAATTCAAAAATACTTTGCTGAACCAGGGAAATGAACTCGAAAGACCAAAATGGCCACACGTAAGCGCTATAAATAACAACGACGAAATATGAGAACAGAAAGAAATAATAGTTTTGAAAAAAAACATAGGCTACTTTTTATCTTAATTACATGAGTGAAGCACTGGCAGAAGCTAGTATAGCAGACATTTCCTTGCCCTCCAATCCTTTAATCTCTTTCAGGAGATGATCTTCAAAATCTTAATCCCATAAGGCCGACAACGCACTCGTAACTACCCTTTTTTGTGTCGGTTTGGAAAATCCTCATGGAAACCCACTGCCCTCGGGGAATGGCGAAGGGTACTGTCAGACTCTTACTGACTAAAAACCAACCCGGTGTTCCTCCCGGGTTCAGCCAACCCATGTGTCGAAGGTGTGTAACGAGTGTTCATGGTCGACGCTGATTGCTTACCATCAGGTAATCTGTCAGTTTGTTTGCCGTCTTTTCATATAAATTAAAAAATATCATTACGTAACAACGGAAATCAAAATGAGATTCTTTTATAAACAAAGACGCGGACAAAACCTAGTCTCATATACATAGGTATATAAGGTTTGTAGCTTTGTGTATAAAAAAAAAGAATAGCTTCATTTTACACAAAAGTTAGGTACTACATTTAAAATTCCGTACAGTCAATTGTCATTTTTAGGATTCAGTACCTGTAAAGATAAAAGATCCTAAGAAAGAGAAAGAAAGATCGAGAGAGAGAGAACGGGAACCCTATTACTGAGACTGTTTTTTTTTATTATTTATTCATACAGCTTCAACATTGGGTAGTATCTTATCCAAACTAGCCAAACTAATTCGTCTGACCGTCAGTCTGTCTGTCACACGGCTGTATCTCATGACTCGTGATAGTTAGACAACAGTCAACGCCCCAACCAGGGTACGAGAAATCACTTCCCTTTCCCCCTCAAAAATGGTGGAGTGTGCTCAAATACTTACGACAAAGTTTATTTTAATTTAGTGTAAACTTGTTTATTACTTTAATCATTAAATGAACGAATGATCTGGAACCCTCCATGCACGGTCCTGACTGTGACTTGGCCATAGTGATAACTTTGCTCTCATTACCATAATTAAGACCACTTGGCTAAATGAGTTGAGCGTGTTATTTATACAATTCAAAATACATGTAAACAAATAAACCTAATTACATTTTATGATCAGTTTTAATGCGCTCATAAGGCCACTGACTTGATGACTTGTCAACGGAATTGTACTCAACTGTCTTGGTAAAATATATTGTATTTTTAATGGTAGTCATAATTTGTCAACACCTCTATTGATATCTATATGTATGAGTTGTCTTGAATAAGTTTTTGTCTGATAAAAATAAAATTTCTTAAAAAATAATGACTGCACGGCGAATCATGAATAAGAGTCCCGTTGTGACTTGAAACTTGTTGAGCTTTTCTCAGTTCAGCGTGTAAGTCGTTAATAACACTACATACGAGTAATATTATAAAACAAAATCAAACAGAGCCAGGGACATAGAAAGTCTGTCCCTATATCCCTATGTATGCTTACATCTTTAAAACTACGCAAACGATTTTGATGCGTTTTTTTTAATTGGTAGAGTGTGAGTTTCAACAAATACTATACAGTATTATATATAAATGTGATAGGAGAAATATTAATTATCTTCTAAAATAATATACAACATAATGCGAATTCACTGATATTAAAAATCATGTTATAAATGACCTATATTAAATTTAATTTATATACAGACTTCCTGTGTTTCGTATGAGTATGCAATTTGTAATAAAAAGTCAAGAACAAATATATTTTGTCATGTAATTGTTATTACAAAATTATTTGCATAATAAAATTGATAGACACAATGACACATCAAAAGGAAACTCAGACTTAATTCACAAATCACTAAAACAAACAAAAATGTCCTCCACACCCACGAACTGAAACACCCTGACCTAAAAACCGAAAATAATATTCCTAAAATAATCCACAACTAACATTGTCACCCTAACCCAGTGGTATCGTTCGCGTGGTGTGCGCATGCTCATAACCGGCTGCTAGCGATAAATGCCTTTCAGTATACGACGAACAGTCGTCGAGTAAAGACGTGTTTGTGTTACAGAAATGTGCGCGGCGATCGACATGTTGGCGTCGGAGTCCTTCTATGGACACAGTCCCCCGGCTGGCTTCCTATCAGACTACAGCATTCAAGCCCCAAGAAGACCAACAAAGCTCACATCCAGAGGTTTCTCAGCACCATGTTTGACGCCTCTAAAACCTGTGCATCTAACATTAAAGTCAGCACCGCGATCGTGTATAAGAATATCAAATGAGAAGAAAAAGAAGAAAGTGGTTTTCGCTGATGACAGAGGATTTGCACTTGAACATATCAAGTTTATGACTGAACCATCACATGTGCCACCTTATTGGGCGTTGAGGATAGTCTCCAGCCCCCCATCGGAGAGGAAACCGCCACCAAAACCAGCTGATTTATGGGAAACGAGATTCGTGCAGCCAGCGTCTGATTACGTGGAGTTTAGGAGAAGAATCACCCAAGATTGTGTGTCGTTAGAAAATGTGATTATCAAACAAGACGAGTGCGCGGTAGACGGTACTGTTAAGGTTAAAAATCTGGACTTTGCTAAAGAAGTTTTCGTCCGAACGTCCTCAGACGGGTGGTTGACGAGCGAAGATACGTTTTGCGCGTTCGTCGAAACTGGCCCTTTGAACCAGAATGGAGTGTCAACATATGACACATTTGGGTTCCGACTACAGCTCCCGATCCACTCCAGAAGACTAGATTTCTGCGTCTGTTTCAAATGCAAAGGACAGGAATTTTGGGATAATAACGGGGGTTCGAATTATACGATAGAAAAGTCATCGGTCCGGAGTCAACCGGCGATTTCATGTGCCCGCATCAAGTACGGTAACTCTTGGACTACAAGATCGAATGGAGACGGAAATGTGCCTTATTGGTGATTAATAAATGACTCTAAATGAATAAGTGATCGAAAGCCGTCCTGGCTGGTGATTTGTGCCATATAATGGTTCCTAGAGAAATTTGAAGGTCTGTATATTTTGTTTTTCTGTCCAAAACAGATTATGGTGATTTACCTAACCTATAAGTCTGTAGAAAGGTGATTAAGGGAATTATCAGCTTTTTCTTACGATTTTTAGATAAGAAGTGGTGATAAAGCGATTGATTATTTCCTTACCTTTGAGGATAGAGAGTCAATGTTGCTTTAAAAGAGTTTCTGTGCTATTTGATCTGTTATCAATCAAGTGGTGATTAAAGTAGGTCGGTGATTATTACCTCCCTTATGTTAAGAATGTAGTCAGGTGGTGATTAATATTTCATACCTATATTTTTATATTTCAAATGGTATGATTAACGAATGGTAGCGTATTTTTATATCTATATTATATGCGCTAATTTTATAATGTACTATGTCTCGATATAGCCCGTCTCTTTCGTTAAAAGGTGCTTCGAAAGAGAGGGAAAGTCATTAAGGTAGTTCTTATTTTGAACATTTAAGCTTTGCAGTCACTAATATGTATAATTTAATTGTGAAACGACATATCTCCATTGCAAATTATCGTACGACTTTCGTCATTATGCACATAAAGATAAGTAGCGGAATTGTATGTATTGATTCAATATTTAATTTAGTTAGTTTTGTTAATACTATTTTAAACAGAATCATTCAGTGAAGAGTTTGATAGGTATTAATTTTGAGGAATATAAATTGAATATTTTTTGTTGAAATAATGTTAACATACGAACTTCAGTAAAAATACTAATATACTATTACCGTGCCCCACAATTTTCATCCACGTAGTAGGTTTAGGCATTAATCTTGCTAATAGCCTATGTTCACAGGAGCTATTGTAGCTTCCTCAAAAATAAAATAATTATTCAAATCGATCACGCAGTTTCGGAGCTTAATCAATACAAACAAATGAACAATCAAATATTTTCTCTTTAGAATGTTAGTAAGATTAATTGAAGTTATAGTAATAAATATATGAAATCTATTTTCTTAAATACTGAATGAATGACAGACAATTAACAGCTGTATCCGCTGCGCGTACAAAACTATTTGTCATCGAATGTTATATTTCAAATTCAAATACTTTCATCAAACAAATCAAAAGAGTTTGTATATCACAGCTCCATTTGAAACTTTTTAAACTTGGCTGTAAGTCTTATAAAGAATCATCCGCCATACTACCTACCAAAATGGCCGACAATTAGTAATTTTGTTGTTACGAATGTCCATAATCTTTGCTGATTGCTTACCATCAGGCGATCCGTCGGATTTAGGTAAAAAAAACTTAAATTTACTTCTATATAGTCATTTATATTCAGCCTATCCTTAGGTAGAACGGTAAAATCTGTTTTAATACGTGTTTATTTAAGTATAAAACAGGTTTTCGAATCACGAAACTGCATAGTGATAAGACTGCTTAGTTACATATGCAAATGAGGCAATCCGCGAAATTAACACTCGATATAAATAGTAGAATTGTTTTGTCCTTTGAATTGTCCAAGTATTGGCTTTCATAAACGCATAAATATCGCGGTAATAGTGGCCGGTTTCTCTTTTCTCTCTGTTTGTCAGATGAGAGACGGAATATATAGTTCGCGGAATACGGTGTATCAGAGAGTACTTTTATGTGTAAGTATGCAAATAGAGATCTAACTATTTTGATCCCGTATTTCAATTCTGGATTGTTAAAGAGATTTATCAAGGATTTGATTCAAATTTATTTCGGACCCGTCCCGGTATCGTACGAGTCTAATGCTAATACTAAATTTCTTTACTATTTAATGGATGTTCTTATCACTCTAGCTAATAAAAAAACCGCTATCTTATAAATATTAAAGGGGTCGTTTCATATTATTATAGATTTTAGTGACTGTAAAAACTATTGACATTATCAATGGCGGTGACAACCTCTACGAAGGAGTTTGTCCAAAAAATGGCGCCAAATTTGACAGCTGTCAAAGTCAAAATAAACACGGATTGGTCTTTGTAAAGCTTGATTGCAATTAATATATTTTATTGTTATTAAATTTAGGTGTTTTCTTTAGCCAAAGGTTTGATATTTCGACGGAGGCCCAGAATTTACTCTTTTTTTCTTTCTTTTCCTTTATATTTCTGGCAGGTCAAAGTATTAAGATCGTAAGCCTTATGTGTACATAACTATTGTTTGTTGTTCGTGTATACGAATAGTTATCATATGATTGTTCAAACAACTTAGAAACAACGGAGTAGGTATAAAATATTTATAAGTTTACAAATACAAAGTAATATTGTTTAGTCTACATTTTTCAACCATCTTGGATTCCAGTTTGTTTGATAAACACTTTGAATTGTTTATTTATTGCGAACCGTATCTAATCTGTTGTTAATTTGCTACATTGTGATACTAAATACTGTTTTATTTTAATTGCAATCAAGCTCTTTCGAAAATACTCAAATTTAGAATTTAATGTCAATGTGACAGATGTCATTTTTGACTGAAACTGTACTAGGATTTGATTGTGAACAAATGTCTTTTTACAAATTGTAACATTATGGTTTTTATAACTGTGAATAGCTATATCTTCTTCTTTTATATACAAATTAATTGCTGTGTGTCTTTGTAAGTGTGGCTAAAACTCGAGAAAGGCTGCATCGACATGGCTTACTGTGGTCTTAAAATATTCTTAGGTATACAGGGAAGGTTTAAAAGGTAAAAAAATATGACTAAGCTAAGGGCTGATATTTCAATAGTCAGATAAATGTTATCTGGGGAATAAAATTGTTGCTGTCACTGTCTTATACAAACATTCTGACGCGACAGCGTCATAATTATTCCCTGGTAACTTTTATCTAACCATTGAAAGATGTGTCCTTAATAAAAAACGGGACGATGTTTGCCCACATTAGCTAGTAAATAATAAACTAAATCGAATAATTTTCCACAAAATATAATAATTATGGGGTAAAAAGGTTTGTTAAAAACTTTAAACTCAATAATCAACCTCAGCTTGCTCCGTAAAGGAATTCAGTATGACGGTTTATTATTATTCTTTTTTTAAACAAATAATATTTATTTATCAACTAGTTCACTGATATTTTTAACAAAACATTTTTGAATGAAGAAAATGACTAGTGAATTAGTTGACTCAATTGGCGCGGGAAAATTGTATCGATGACGTTTCTTTATTATCTGTGAAAGGCGGGGAAAAACAAAATGGCGTAGACAAGGCGTAGAGGCGTCTTGCTTGGGGCTTATTTTTCAATAGTCAGATAAATGTTATCTGAGGAATAAAATTGTTGCTGTCACTGTCTTATACAAACATTCTGACGCGACAGCATCATAATTATTCCCCAGTCAACTTTTATCTAACCATTGAAAAATCAGCCCTTAATCTAACATTATTATAACTGAATTTTAATAAAAAAAATAACTTTATGTCAAAACACAAATTATAATGTAATTACTTTTAAATTAAAACTATAGATGTGCCTATGAATAGAAACACAGTTTCCGCAATAATGCAATTTGTAAAATGACATTTTTATATACAAAAAAGGACTGAAAAACATGGTGCAAGACTCGAAGTGGATCAGAAATATTGTTCTATTGATTGTATTTATATTTAAGAACTTATTTTCTCACTTTTATGGTAAAATTTTATCGTCTAAAATAAGCGGATATACCGCGAATAGCGATTATATTTTAACATAAAATGGAACTGGATGTTGAGATGTTTTAAATGAAATGAATTTGGATGTTTTAGTATGAAAGTGGATGACGCTTAAAAAGGTGTTCACAGGGTAGCTAAATGAGATAATAATACTATTAAAAGTTTATTTCGATAAAATAATAGTTCTTTTTTATTATTAATAGTCTTTTTTTTATTATTTTTTTTCCAATTATGCGATTTTTTAATGTATATTTTTGTTATAAAAAAGTTGCTCAGTGTAAGTCTCGACCGTCGTGCCTTGATATCCTGGTGGTATTTATATTATAAAATAATAAATAAATGAAAAAATATTATTTTATATTATATTATTTTCTCTCTTATAATCAATTCGATTTTATTTGTAAATATTAATATTTAATATTATTCTTAATAATAAATTTTATACTTTATTTTTCTCTCGTTTTTATAATTATTACTTTTAAATATTCTCTCATAATAATAGTAATAATAGTCACCAGGTTATCAGTGAATTTGGCTCGACAGTTTTATTAAATTTATTAAAATAATATTTCTATTATATTATTATTGTTATTTTAAGCTAAGAAATGATGAATGTCAGTAATTTATTTATGAATGTTCAACTAATAGTTATTTTCTACATTTCTTTTTATTGTATAGCTATTAAAATAAGTTTGTAAGAATTTTAAACACAAGAACTGATTTAATTTACCTACCATATTGTGTTTTATTATATTAAAATTAGAGAGTTTATCATTTTTTTTTAGGTTTTTTTTTGTATAGAACTCACTACAAGGCATGGATGACAGAATATATTTTTTTATAAAAATAATAAAAATATCATTGATTTATTATATTTTTGTTTTATTTTCGACCTTATTATTAACAAGTGCTGTAAACAGTTATTGTTAATCGCTGGATTATCCTTATAAGTCGATAATGTAACTTAATTCATATAACCTGAGATTTTTTTTTAAAAGTGAATACCTTTAAGGTCAAAACCTCTTGAGACGAAATAGAGGAACCAATCAAATTTTTTTTAAACAATTTGTTCTCAACAGTATTCTTAAATATACGTGTAGGACTATAGTAATTTGTATATTTTTTAAAAGAGATACGAACTATGGAATTTCTTGCACGCTCTTCTTCATGGAGTATGAACAAAGAGGAGACGGCCTAACCAACCTTTCACTGTGCTGGAACACAAAGCTGAAGTCTTCAAGCTGGGCGTGCATCCCCAATCAAATCTACACATTGGAACCAGCGCTTCGCTGCACCGACGAACAGACTGATAGTGTTAGTCTATTTTTTTATGTAGGTAATATGTCGGCAAACGTGCAGACAGATTACCTGATGGTAAGCAATCAGTGCCGCCGCAACAGGA